AACATACAGGAGATAGAAACATCCAGCGTTGTGATGGCGGTGCCGAGAAATGAAAGTTGCGGACCCGCTCTCTTCCGTCGGTTTCCCGCGTCGTTTGAGGCTTTTTGAAACGCCGACGTGAGGTGGAGTTTAATGAGAGCATCTCGGTTTTTGAAAGTTCTGTGCAGAGTGTGCGGGCGCCGCAGTGCTTAAACAACGTCTAAGGTTTCGGACGGTTTTTAATGTCGCGCGGAATTTAGATGCGCATTGCTTGCGCTGTGTCGAGCGAGTAAGGAAGTATATCCAATACACTAGGGGCAACCGTAAGATCAACGTGTCTGACCTCGGAGTTCTGCCGAGTTAGATCCCCTTGCGTAGCAACATTTTTCGTTTTTACGCATAATGTGTTTTAAGAAGCGAATCCCACGGGAAATGCGTAACGAAGAACAGCTACACTAATTTCCCCGCGAAACATAGTAGAAAAATTATTTTCGGGCGACGTTCATTTTCCCACTAAATTTAGTGGAAAAGATTACATCACGTGACCTCTTCATGCGACCTCAAATAAGGCTTTGTTAATTTCTCGGCTACGTTTGAAGTGACCGTTCTTTGTGTCGGCACTTCCTTACGTTTCTTCGTTCCGGTACTTCGTTACGGCCTTCTCCCAGAATTCAGATGATAAAGAATTGTCAGTTTTCAAACACGATAGCTTTTGCAGGAAACAAAGAAATATCGGTGCGTTCGATTTATAAAGCGAAGGGCTCTTCAATGATTTGAAAACCGCTTGAGGTACCACGGCGCCAAAGCACGCGCTTGGCCGAGGAGCAGGAACGCTTCTTGGGAGCTTCCTCGTGTTTGCGACTGTTGACTTGGAATGCCACGCTAGAGCTGCCCCTGCCTAAATCACACGAGCCCTCCAAATGGGGTTAAAAAATGCATTTTTATGGTAGAGCTCTAAGAACGAGATTCAACCTCCGAGTTTTTTTTAAATCTCAGGACGGGACACTCGTGTCATATCTAGAGTGAGATTCACTACAACGCTCCATGAGTTCTCGACAAAACTGTGCCGGGCAGGTTGGATTATAGAATATCAAAAATAATCTCTCTCTCGCCACTATTAATTTTTCTTTCCTTGTTCCGTATCTATACTTTTTCTCATTGATAAAATTTCCTTCTTTTCTTATCTATCGAATCCTCTTTTGTTTCTCTTATACTTTCTTTTAAATTTTTGTATTTCTATTTTTCTGTCATTCTATTCCAGTCTTGTTTTCCAGTGAGATATAGGATTGGTCGGTTCAGTGGATACAGTGCCAGTATAAAAAAGACCTGCACCAAAAAAAAAAGAATCTGTTTGGCTAAACGTTTTAGACAACATTTAAAAATATATTTAAAATGATTTTTTTCACAAGAACAGTTTATCTATTAGAATGAACCGGTCACCCTAGCAAAATCCTATCGCACTCTTGTCACGCTGATGTTTCATTAATTTTTTTCCCGAGAAATTTTGAATAGTTAAAAAGGCTGCCTAAAGATGTCCTCTTGACGAATTTTTGAAAGAGTTTACAAAATATTTTAATGCCTGTGTTTGATAAATGTTGCTTCCCTATTCCTTTCGTTTTTATATTGCCTTTTATAATGTAGTGGTTTGATTGAAATGGTATTTATGCTAGTTTTGCTGATAAATATTTTTGTCTCTATATTCGAATAACATTTGTATAAATACTTCCTTGTACACTAGTTTTATACTAGTTGTGTTTGATAGATAGTTTTCCTGAATTTGAGTAATGTTTTAATAATATTTTTTTTTTTTTGTGAAACCATCACATGTTATAATGCAAACTTCTTTCTAAATAAATCAAAAATAAACTCGTTATAGAATTCAGTTGTCTGGGTATTCTTTCACTTTTTTTTTCGATCTGGACACGAGGATAAGCGTAAAGAGAGTTCAATTGGCGAAATTTTTATTTGCGTTGGATGTCGCTTTGCGTTGATGCAACAGCATAGGAGATGTCCGATTGTCCAGTTTGCCCTAGGGATGTTGAAGTATGGGGGAACATGTAGAGAAACATAAAGTATCATCGTATAGGTACTCGATATTTATACATAAAGACCTTTATTTAATTTTAAGACGAGCTAGCAATCTAGCAGTTGACCTGTCGGTGGCCAAAATGGCCGCAATAAATGCCACCGGTCCGACTCCCCCCCCCTCCAAAAAAAAAAAAAGCGCGGGTTACGAGTAGGTTTTTGCCGTCTCAAATAGCCTCCGGGTCGTAGTTACGGAATTCCGTAGTCGGCGGAGCAACTAGCAATGTTTGTGTGTTTCACAAACGTTGAAAATAGCGTCAATAACTAAACACCTGCGTACAAACTGTTCATCAACATGACGGAACACCGCTTACCAGAAGTGTTAAAGGGTTTCGTGAAACCGCACAGATATTTAAATAGAACCATGATGTGTTCTCTACTGGTAAATTGCTTTCCCGATTTACGTGTTATTTTTTTAATGGCTGTGCAGAAAATGCCTGCACTGAGAATCATAAAAAATGATTTATATATATATATATATATATATTTAGTCATTCGGCTTTATCAAATAGGAATGTCAACCTTGTACTGAAAAGACGTGTATAATTTTTTTTAGAAAAAAACAAAAAACTCAGCTCTTAGGAGTGTTCAAGGTGCTCACAAAAAACAATCTGGCCTGAAAAGATGTCTCAAGAAAACCTTTTCCGCAAATATGTCTGCATATCTGGAACGAATATTAAACAGCGTTAGAATCTTGGAGTTTTTAGTCGTTTTGAGACTGTATTTTTAAAGTAAACAACCACATACATCGCAGACTAGCAATAAGGACTGCACCCTCGCGCTCGACGTTGCGTAAATAAATTAAAGACACTTCATTAGACATGCCCACTTTTTAGGGGTATGTTTCTCACAACACATCCAAATTGGATTTTTTTTCATTGCGATCAAATTTGCGACCACGGAAAATAACAATATACTAAAAGGCTCAAAGTTGTTCTTACATATTCTCCGACTTAAACCAAACGTTTTTTAAGCCTTTAGCTCTTATGTGGGCTCAATCTCGATACCCCGACGGCTCAGGAATTCCGTCAGTTATCTGCGTGCTGTATTTGGGCGACCATGCTACAACTGATTTTGGGCAAAAGTTAAATGTTGTAAAACGTTATGGCGTGTGTCATTAACTTTTTTGTGTATTTTATATTTTACGAACGGTTTTGAAGTTTCTGTGAACAGTTTGTTGTTGTGGTGCTTTCTATGGAAAACGATAGGCTTGCTTTTTAAAAAGTTCAACACCTTTTGCGTTAACCCTATGAAATTAATTTTATCTAAAATAATAGATAAATACTAAATTAGAGAGATGTAAGTAGTTAAGAAACTATGAAAAAATCTCCGAGAGCATCCAAAAAGGCTTGGAAAACCGTTCGGATGGCACGCGCATAATAAATCAAAAGAAAAAAAAATATTAAACACCTTTCTTTTTAAGCTTATACATTTTGATTGTGCGTGATTCTGTATGAACTCTTTCTGTTTCACATAGTGGAGAATCATAGATTCCTACTTTTGAGCCCTCGGTCTCAGTTAACCAGCTAAGTTCGTGAGTGGCCATCGGTGCACGATACGGCAAAATATAATCTGCTCGCTGAAAGTGACACCGCCGTGTTCTTGAAAGCGCAGATGATCCTCAGGCTCACGCCGAGGCACCACAATTAGCACAAATATCGTACGACCCATTCGTTTTATTAGGACGGGTCAGTACGATGACTTCCGCGGCTCATAGACCGACCAATCGAACAACTTTGTAGCAGAATGATAAACACCCTTGCACTGCCACATACATTGATCATAAGGATTCTTTAATATATGGTCGCTGATTGGTGGAATTTTAACCGCAAAGCACGAATGCGTTCTCTTCAGCGATGTATGGTGATATCTTGACAGCCGTAGAGTTCCACAATGTTGCTAGGCTTGCGGCCCTCTCATAAAGGGTTCAACTCTGTCGTCTGTTAGCGTTGCCGCCGTCTTGCTTCGCACTTTGTGCAGTCGTTTACAAAATGTTTAAGCAGTTATTGAGCCTTGCCGCTTGTGAAACAACGTAATTTGAAGCACGCGCAACGTCACTCGCTCCATCACAAATGCGGTTGTTTTTGGTGCTGGGGAGGTGCAAAATGGTGGCCGTGATCAGAAAAAAGCACCGCTTATCCTCCCAAAGGATGTCGCCACTCTAGCAGGACGCATACAGCAAACAACACTTGTTCGCTGTAGACAGCCGTGTTTTATTTGTCTTTTTTCGCCGTGTTTGGTCATCAATTTCAACAGGCGGATTCGGACCTGTGCTTTTATCACGACACAGCAGGTTTCCTTTGCCTCAATAAGGGTGACTGGGGGAAGAAGTTCACTTTACAGTCAAAGAGACGGGACACACGTTTTGCGGCAGCCTTGTGCTGCTGCTCCGCTCTGACCTTGTTTACATAATGTAAACGGGAGACAAACTCAACTAACAGACATCCGTCTACAGAACACACCTTATCCCATGATTTTCGTTGCGCTTCAACGTCCTCAGCAACTGACGAGGAATTATGTCTATGAATACAGGTTATAGTTGGAGATCGCTCGGGTCGCCGAAGGTTTCTTCGCAGGTGAGAACTTTTAAATGTTAGTGTAAAAGCTTTTACTAATGTTCAAAATTAGTTTCAGGTGCCGTTTACAATTTGCTCTCAAAAGCCGCATTTTTTTTTTTTTTTACTGTGCAGTTTGCTTTATTCTTGGCCCCAACAGCGCTCTTCCTGCATCAGGAGTTTAATACAGGAAGATGTGACTCAGTATGGAACTTGAAGGTCAATCTATACTTTCAAATATTTTGTAATTGAGTACCAAGGTATCAATTCACAGTATGGTGTTCTGCAATTTTTATTCATGCTTAATGTCAATATTTCTTATATAATAATTTGCATAGTAAAAATACCTATACTTTTTCTTGCTTTTTTTCTGCGGTACAGTGAAGCCATCCACGGTTCGCATCCGTTCCAAACAGCGTCCTCTCGTGGCGGGACTGGCGGCCGAGATCGAGTGTGAGGCAGCCGGATCCCGACCAGCCCCCGTCATTTCCTGGTGGAGGGGCAAAGCCAAGTTACCCAGCAATCACTTCAAGGTGCTCCTCTTAGATTTTCTGTTAGTGAGACAGAACGGGCTTGTGGTTATCCTAAAGGACACGGTTTGTTTAGAAACAATTAAAGTATACCTATTTGTCATCTGGACATTTAGGGCTTTTCTTTTGCTTTTTCTCAGACATTTCCCATGCAAGATGATGTTTAGACAAATTAATACCGATCAGTTGTATATTAAGTAATAATTTCTTCAGGTTCGCTATTCTCACGTAGCATGTCATGCGTTATATCTTCCTATCTACTTACAACTATCTGTATTAAGGTAAATTATGGATCCCCGAAGACATTAGAGAAGTGAGATAAGAATTTGATTAATAATATGAGGACTCTACTGTCCACACACAAAAAGAAAGTGCCCTTTTCTGGTTTATGTTGGGACGTCCTCACTCGAACTTTCTTTAAAATCAAATTATAAAGTTTTGTGGAGGCAAGTCATATTAAAATATAAGACCACAGTTCGAGTGCAAATCATAAGAGCGACAAGCCTGTGGAGGCGGGGCACGGGGAGGGGTTTTGTTTATAACTCGTTGATTGCAGCTACTTTGAACATTTCATGAGTCATAACAAAACGATATCACATTCCTAGCAACGCCTTAATGTACATAAAGAAGCAGCCAAACATAATTCATAAGCCCTGCACCTAACTTGTTTTTAGCTGGACAAGCGTTTGAACAACTTCACCTCATCGCAGCAAAAGGAACATGTCTAACCTATCGTACGCTTGCTTCTTCCACATTTTTTGCTTTGTTCCCCGTTATTTCTGTCGGGACCACAGATGGCAGCGCTTACGATTTGGCGAGTCCTGCTCCTGTTTTTACGACCCCTGCTTCAGAGCCGTAGAGAGAGAGCGTTGAGTCAATGAGAGGATTCGGTGGCAGCCGGGGTAGAGCAGCGGAAGAGCCGCCGCCACCAGTGTCGCGTATTCCTTCTGTGATGATCCTGTGAAGTAAAAATATCTGAAATAATCTTGAAAAAAACACGTACAGCGGCGCAGTTTCTTTTTTTTTTTTTTATGAGGTTGAATGTGCATGAATCGATAATTGTTAGAGATTGGTGGTAATAGGTAGCCTCCATGGGGGGTGCTGAGTGCATTCACTGAGCCAGAAATAGTGACATTGACGAAAAAAGTTAACTGAAACTTGAGGCGAAAGTGCCAACATGGGGTGCACGTTTGGGGTTAGGGTCAAAGTTTCGACGGAGTCGAGTCGGCGGTTTTTACCGTTCCCAATGTATTCTCAATGTTTCCTTGACAACCGCGTGACATGTGTTCCTTTCAGTTACGAAGAGTCTCAAAATTAAACTCTAGCGCGCTGAAAGAAAATACTTGAATATATCATTACCCCCAATATGTGATTGCAGGATATAAATTAAGCTTATTGCTTCCCCCAGGGGAATATTCGTGGATGGTGGTTAGTCACAAGTGCTGTCAATCGACACGCCCAAGGTAATTTAAACTATATTCGCCTTATTCTTACCAATTAATGACCGAACTCTTTACATAGACGGCTCTGCTTTGTTCCTAGCTCGCCACTGAGGCCCAATCGTGCTATCTATGAAATCATAGATTGTGAATATAGTTTAAATATCAGCGTACCTTTGTGCACAACAGCGGCGCAAATTGTGGCGCGTAGGTGCTGCTGATTGGCAACCGGGTGTTCTCCGTGGTGGCCTATACGCCAACACGGGAGGACAACGGCAAGCGACTGCGATGCGTGGCCGAGAACCCCAATATCATCGGGAGCTCGATCGAGGCGTCGTACAACCTCGACGTTCATTGTGAGTGCACGAGCTGGGATGTGTTTCTGGCAGGATCGAATCCACATTGTGTCTCTGACTGTCTTTGTAGGTGTGTGTGTGTGTGTGTTTATGCATGCATGCATGTGTGGCTACAGGAGCGTGCATTCATTCGTGCTTCATAGCTGTGTGCAGTATTTCGAAAATGTAATTTAATTGGAATGAGAATTACTTTGTTTTAAAAGTAGGTAATTACTACCAGAATTACAAGTGGAAAAGAAAGTAGTTATTTATAATCGTAAATACTATTTTAACTGTAATTAAATTAATTTGCAATTACTGTTTTTAAAGGTTTACTTGAGTTCAGGGATGTTGATGTGATAAGGTTTCTCCTCACACGTATGCGAGTGTCCAGTCACGTATCCATATTTATATAATATCACGTTTTTTAATAATTGAGCTAGACGTAATTAAATTACAGCTAAGGCAAATCCTACACATAAACAAGTCAATACAAACACAGATTGCCCACAAATGTAATTAAATTACTGTATTTAAATTACACTCCAAGAATGGCGTTCGTTCGTGCGTAACACCTGTGTAGCATGTGTGTGTGTCCATGGGCGTGTTTGTATAGGCGCGTGTGCGTGTGCGTTTCTGTGCATGTGCCTGTTTCTGTGCGTATGCGTGTGTGTGTGTGTTTGCGAGACAAAGAGAGTGGGTCACCACGATGGTTCACTCTCGCGGTGACCAAAATTGAACCCAACTGTATTTGGTACGTCTGCACTCACAGAGAGTTTTGAAATAGGGGGCCCCAACTTTTGGGTTCCCCTCAGAAACTGCGGGACCCAAACGCAACAAGGTTGGCGACGTCGGCTTATAGACCAGTGTCCGCGCCAATTCCAGGGCGCCGCCATCTTTATCTACGCTCGCGCCACCACTCGGAGAGAACTGGCAGGCAGGAGGGGGGGGGGGGGGGGGGGGGGGGGGGCTGCGTTGGCGGCGTTGCTTTGGGGAGCTGGATGCGGCAGGCTGTCCGAATGCACCGCACATCGTGAAAGATATCTTCACCAGAAGCCTCAGCGGCCCGTTCTTCAACAGATAAGATGTCGTGAACATTCGAGAACCCATCTCCATCAAGAAAACAAGAGAAACCCTTTCTTGTCTTAAATGTTTTCGGTGTCTGCTGACCCTTGACATCCGCGTTTCAGTCCGGGTTCATTGCGTAGTAAATATTTCGCTACCGCTTTCTTGTAGCTTTCAAATGCTTGATTGTTGGCTTCTTGTATACGACATTACATTCGTGGCACGTTTGAGACCGATTTTCGCGATCTGCTTGCCTTTCTGCGGCAGCGCGGCTCTGCCGAGCCGAAATAATGTGGAGGCGTTCAGTTGATCGAACGCCGTTTTAGCGAATGAAAACCAGACCACGAAGTTTCATCAAATGACTGGCGAATGGGTCTAGTTACACAGACAGCTCGGATTAGCTTTCTTTTGTAATGTGGCGCCTTGTCTGCCGCCGCGAAGCGGCGTAAACGAGGGCTCCGAGTATGTTAGCACGCCCCCCCCCCCCCCACACACACACACACACACAAGCTGCGAGCGTCTGGGTTCGAAACTATTAATTGCCAGTTCTACAGGATGTTACTTACTTGAAGTGGGAGCTGGAATTCTACGAGGTACCAGGAGACACTATCGGGCAACGAAGCAGGGTGCCTGTGGGGGCGGAGTCTAGGAACGCTACTGATTAATATTCTGACAGGCGATGAGTTATGATAACAGACAAAACTTCGACTCGTTTGTTCAGAAGTTCGCGGTGATATTTTATTAGCCCTCATTACAGCACACCAAGGATCTTAGGCAGTGAAATTCAGATCTCGCAGGCTCGTCCGTCGTAGTCAAATGAGCGCAGTCGACGACGAGGTCTAATGAGTTACTAAGCTTCACAAGAAAAATGCCCGCGAGAAAAAGTTTTGCGGCAGTACAAAACACCGATCCAGCAGACGCACGTACGTACGTTTACTCAGGACTCCATGAACCCGACGGCGCAAGATCAAAGCGATCAAAAAGCACCGCCGCCGTTGCCACCCGGTTTTCTCTGCACTTTGCGCGACAACGGCACTGCAACGGAGGGCACTCGCCTCGGCGTTAACAAGCCGCGAAATAGATTAATTTCCCCAGTATTGAAGCCATTCCAAATGATAAATGAAAATACCTCGGGGTTGTAGAGCATCTGAAGACACCATGGTGCCAAGCGCCTGTTCGGCATCGTCGTTGCTCGTGAAGGCCTGCTTATTTTTAGTCGGGACGATGATTCCACATCTTTCGTGTCACTCGTGGAGCTTGCAATAACTTCGAATGGCAGGGGAATTTTCTCACGAGGACGTCGAAGACACGCAACACCGGAGCCACCAAAACAATCGTACAAACCGGCGCCATGTTTGCTTTTTCTTCGTCACTCGCGGCGCGGTCAACTCGTCGCGAGATGTTTTCTGGCTCGGCTAGATGGAAACCAACAGCGGCAAAGTGGCGTGTGAACAAACGGCTCTCACATTACGGGCTCTATACTTACATACCGCGGTAAACAGAACCGATTCCGGCGAAACGGCAGTTGGCACACCAGCAAAGAAGCCCTCAACGGGAAGCAGCCGACGAAGGCCGACGCAGCCCCCCCCCCCCCCCCCCCTCCCCGTGAGCGTCTGGGTTCAAGATTACTGTTCGCTTTTGCTCCTTGCGGCCTAGGTTAAAAAGAGCACTTCCGGACACTGGTCTATAGAATACACAAACTGAACTCTTTTACGTCACGGCGCGGTGGTGGCGCGTCGGGCGCGCTTCCGGTCTGGGGTTGTGGGCAGAAGTCCCCATGCCAGACGTGCATTCCTGCGTTGTTGTGAAAGGAACCAGGCAAAAACCTGCCTTCTCGTCAAAACGCCGCGAGGTGGGCCATACCAAAAGAATCGCCAAAAAATTGAAGGTCAGTTCTCATGTGCTCGGTTCGTCCGAGAATCTGGATATATGCCGCGAAAAGGGAAAAGCAGACGCCGTCAGACAATTATTGCTTGGGCGGGAGGCACCTTGGGTTGAACTCACTGATACTTGTGGCCATCAGATTCATTTGTTTTGCTCCAACATGAACGCCAGAAAACCGTCAAGTTGTGCAGACAACCTGCGGACTACGTTTAGTGCGTCTTCAAGTTCAAACGGCCGCATGATATTTCGAATGTTCGTCTGCTCTTTCAAACGTTTCTGCTTGTCATCTGCTCTCGTAGGCGACGCCGGCCCGCGGACCAAATGTTGGCCAGGTAGTACTTGCGATAATAAGTAAGTGCAGGCTTCAAAAGGCTTAAGTTTGAAGGTTGGTAAGCAGGCTGGATGTAAACAGTAGATACAGGGAAATGTTGATCATCGTTACCAGTGACCATCACCGACTTGTTATGCCTAAATCACTTCGTCCGATTATGCTTGCGATTTTCAGTAGCGACGTCGACCATCTCAGCTACGGTTCACGCTTTTGCAGCCCGAGCGGCGTCGCGACTGAAAATTAAGAGCGAAATCTCATCATGCGAATCAACCTTTAGCGTACAAACTGTGGTGTCCACGCGGAATTAATCGCCGCATGTCAGATTATTCACGTTAATTTTTGCGGTGTAACGAGCCTCGGTAATTTTCGCTGACTCCACTCAAGTAGTCATATATCGCCAGGAAGACGGAGAATCAACAATTCGAACGCGGAAAAGGGCAGGGGGACTCACACCGACGCCAATCATTTCAATGGTCTGTTTATGGGCGCCGAGCTTCTTGCCCATATCCCCATCGCGCATGCGCGGCGCCGGTGGCGTCCGCTAGGGGCGCTCCGGTTTGTTTGTAAACATAAGTTGGTGTATAGGGTTTTCGCAAAGCAACGCAGCGCGCTTACGTTTCATGATTGCAGCGCCAATGCAGGTAACAAGCGTAAAAATAAAAAAAAAATTAAAAACGTAAAACATGTGCTCTTAGCAAGTACTTTTTTGTTTACAAAATCAGTTAAGGTTAAAACAAATAAAGCCGGCTAAAACAGGATACACTCTAAAATCAATATAAATATTGTCGTTTGTATTAAGCCAAAACAGTCCAATCCGTAGGACTCTAATTAGGCGCTCGTCCTGAGATTTTGTTTTGAAGTTCTTGTGGGTCGCTTTGACACTCTGTCGCCGAACATTTAGTCCTTCAACTGTTCCGAAACTGAGATGAACGCAAGCGAGCACACTCTGCGAGCAGCTGCTCCACTTAGATCTGAGTTGGAGCGACTTTGAGGCCTTGCAAGACTAGTTTTAGTGCTACAGAAAACACCATATTGCTTCGCCAATGCCGAAAACTCCTCGGAAAACCCATTGGAGCGGCGGCGAACGTGACAGTGGCGCCTCTAGCGGACTCGGAGTCTACAAAAGCAGACGACCCAATAGACAAGTATAGGCTCAGCGACGTCCTCGAGTTTTGCGAGCCTAGTTTCGACACCCCAACTGCTGAAACTATTCATTACAGTCAGCCCGCTTGCAAAACAAAATACACTGATCGCAAGTGCAACGACAAAGAAATAACAAGGCGCGCCGAAGCAAAGATAGAGCAGTTTCTATGGCGGTCTTAAACGCCGCTCAGCGGATCACTCGCGTTTGAAGCGCATTTGGGCAGCGGGAAAAAGGCGTCTAGCTGCTCAAACTACGTCATAAGAGGTTACTGTTGATTCGTTACAAACTGCGTTGTTAGAATTTTTTTACCTGATTAGGTGATTATAAAAACGTGAGCAAACAACGTGTTAAGATTACCAGAGCAAACGCACCAGCCGCTGCAGCAGAAAAAAAATATAGCGAGAAACCTTACCTTGCAAACACGTTCCGACCTTAGCAGGAAGGATGGGGTTCTTATCTCAGACGGAAAAAGATAGGAAACAGTCGCAAAACGAAGCCGAATAAAGCAAAAAGGTTAGCAGACGATAGAACGATACAAATAACCTAGCAAAGAAACTCCTCCAATAACGACGATCGTTGCACAGGTGGTTTTTATCGTCGGTGTTGAGTCTAGAACGAACAAAGCGGTAGTCACACGACGAAACAAATAAAAAAAAAAAGCACTTTACTTTTTCTTTTTTTTTGCAGCTGCATATTGCACGTTTGCTTATTTGCTTTTGCGGCCTTCGTAGAACCTAAAAGTGAAACAGGGGAAAGGAATAACGTAGTCACAGCTCACACCGCCGGTTAAAGAAGAGTCGGACGCTGCAATCTGGTACGTGCAAACAGTGTGTGATATTTGTTTGCTTTCGCATTTCTCTTCCCAGTGACCTTGGCAGGTTTTTTCTTTTGCGCGCTTGACGAAGGAGTTTAAAAGTACATTCAAGTGCCTGTTGACGTACGTGCCCAGCCAAGCTTTGCACACCGTGCCTTGGTCTTGAGTGTCGATCAGCGGCCTCAAGTGTGTTTTCAGCTGAACTCTTGTTTGGTGCAATTTATCAGTGAAATGTGAGTCGAAGGCACGGCTGTTGTTACCGGCTAGGTCACGAGCTAAATCGTAAGGTGGTGTCATTTTCGCGTGCCAGTAACTATTTTCCATCAACGGAATCTCTTTCAAGGTGTGTCATGCTTCTGATCACAGTTCGGCTTGGCAAGCATGATGACAAATCTGACTTGCTGCCCACCCGGCTACATAGGACTGGGTGTTCAGTAGTGCATCTGGCCTGTCGTCCGTTAAGTTCTCAGCGATCTCCGTGGAGTTGTCATAATCGTATCTTCAGGCGTCAGTGGCGATTTCGAAGCGAAACTTGAATAGATCTTTCAGTTTAATTTGAATACTTCAGTAAATTAATTACTCTCGTTTGTTCGGTATTTCAGAAACGGAACGACTTTTCACCGCGCCGCAAAAAAAAATAAATTTGCAGTGGTAGGCAGAACATTGCATGGCTACCATCTTCAAGTATGCCCTGGTGTATGCCCGACGGTGACCGGTTGATCAACAAACGATGACCCACAGCAGATTTGCCCGCGAAAACATATAAATTCCGAATAGAAATGTATAACGAGCTTACACTTTTTAATATATTTAATAAATATCAAAAAGCATATATGAATATTTCGGATTAGAAACGCAATCACAGTCGACTGTCGTAGAAAACAGACACAACAACAAAGTTCCAGACAGCCCTCGTTCAGAGCATAGCGTATCAGATTAGCAGACGAGCCGGCGGTAGTAAGTGCCGAAGCGCAGGAAAGAGAGTAAAACTATAGCTAAGCAAGGCAAAGCAAAGTACGCGATGGCTTCAACGTCAAGTAAACAAAAAAGAGAAAAGCAACAAAACAACACAACATAAATGCAGGAGGACGAGAGGCGGTGCCGGTGCAACGTCGCCTCAAACACAAAAAGAAAGTGCGATTTGAAAATTAGAAGAAGTTGCAAACGGTCAAACGGGTACCGGCTTTTACCGTAACAGACGCAGAAGACATTAGTTGTCCCGGCGCTAACAAGCGGAATTTGTGCACCGTAAACAACTTTACCGAAATCACCTTTATTTCCGCTACGACGCTCTCCTCTTTTTTCTTTTGCACGCGCAAAAATTCTGTCTTTTTCTGTAACTCCGGTTTTATTAATTTCAATAATAGGGACAAATTTTGCATGTGCACATTCGACTTCTTCCAGACCATACTGACATCTAAGTAACGTACCTGGTTCGAAATTGCCTTTTGCTTCTTCATCCGGAAACGATCTTAACGGGATAAGCCAGCTCGCCTATTCGACAAAACGGTTATTAGCAAGACATTCATAAGAAATTGGAATTCCAACAACAAAACGAATTGATTGATAAGAGCACTAAAGTCGAAATACAGCTATGTTGTGAAATTTTTGTACATTGCCCTTCTTCAAAAAACAGCGCGAAGGTACATTCGTGTTTTGCTTAGCGTACATAAGTTGTGACAGAGTATTTTCTTCAGGAGAGTCCTAAAATTGCACCCAGAAAGCTCTAAAATATTTCCCACGCGAAGAAAATGTCCTTTATTCATAAGGTTCCCCCTATTTTTTGACATTCCAAGCAGCGAATATCCGTGACAATTATTTTTCATTGGTCACCTCGCACGGAGATAGGCAAAACCAATGCGTTGTGGAAAATTCTTCTGCTAGCGGAGACTCCGAGCTCACCAGGGGCGCCGCGATCCCTTTTCGCCCGCGCTCCACGGGAGTTGCCAGTGTTGACTTACATGGTATTTGGCTTCAGGCTTTGTGCCACGAGCGAAATCCACTCGGAGCCTCGGAGTAGCGATACGTTGCAATGTCACCAGTTACCGCGTTTCTTTAGGCTTACGAACGCCCAAAATCCAAAGATGATCTTTAAAATGGGGCGAGCACCCCGTTCATTCATAGTGACTTGAGCGAGATAAAGCGAACAGGAAGCCGGCTGCACCATTCACTGGCAACGAACGTGACCAATTCTACAGCGACCATGACGAATTTGCTCTGAAGTAAGGGAAAAGGGCGCCGCCATCTTTGCCTAGGCAACCCGGCCCCAAAGAAACAGGGGCCCCACGCTATTTCTCCAATTTTGCGTTGGGGGCGAGCGCCAACCCAAAACCTGAAATGCAGTATGGGTTCAGGGCTTGCGCAGTGGGAGGCCCTAATTTCTTTGCGGCCTTCAAGCTTTGGGAACCCCTATTATAAAACTCTCTAATGTCTGAGAACCATTTTCAAGCGCTTAAACGCCACCTGTATTATCATTGGAAATAGGAGAATCTAATACCTGAGTATTTATTGCCTGCGTCTTCTTTGCTGGCTCAGCCACGGAGTACACCATTTCTTTGGTGCCTCGCGTACAATCTTAATACCATAAACTATACGAACGCGCGCATTCGAGTATGCCAGTCCGTAAACATGCGCTTCTGTGCATTTGTGCATTTGGGTGCCTCTGCGTGTTATTGCGGATGACGTCTCTGGTCTGTAGACACTCGATTTTGTTCTGATGCGAAGATGTTTATGTGCGTCATGTATGCGTAAGGTAATCTGTTCGTACGTTTTTACGTGCCTGTTTTATTGTCTGTTTGTAAGCGTGGGCGAGTACGCGTAAGTACGTCTGCATTTGTATTCGTTCGCGTGAGTGATTACCATGCACTCTTACGCACATGTGTTGGTGCGAGTCTGTGCCTGTCTGTACGTTTACGTTCGCGTGTCTGTGCCTCTATACCTGTTCGCGTGCTCCGCGTGCAAGCCTACGTTTAAGCATGTGCGAGCGCCAGGGCGAGCCAGTGGCTAGGAGGGTGTAATAAACCGGGCGTCCGCGAGAGAACCTAACCCAGTTTTTAGCACCGCACAAATAAACTAGACATCGCAGAAACCTCGAACTCTGTCCGAATGTCGCCCGAGCCGTTCAAGCAAGATGCCAGAACTGCATCACTAACTGTTTTATCATTCAAAAGTTATACACGGTTTTCTGAAAATGTGAATTGTAAAATGGCGCCCGACGGAGTTCTCGAATGCAAGAGCTCTATGGCTCCAAACGCCAAAAACGGGCGAAAATGGGCCCCATCTTTTCATTGCATTGAAGATTTAAGAAAATAACAGAACTTTTGAAAAAGTCAACGGTTGGTGGTGTAACTTTGGAATCTGCGCTTGAAACACTGGAGCTATGTTCTGACAAATTTTGAGCTCACCGCGACGTCTAGTTTAGTTTTGCGGCGCCAAAAATAGGGTTCGGTTATCTCGCGGACGTCCGGTATTTACGTGTGACGAATCACACACACCTATCGGCCTTAGAGGGGCGGAAGAGATCCGCCTTTGTGACCGGTTTGCTGGAGAAGGTCGGTATTTCGCCAGGTGATAAAAACAGACAAAAGAATTTTGAGGTCACGTGACCAGCTCCCTTGAAAGAAACACCTAAGAGTTCCTATTATTTCTGGCAAATGGCTGCCTTAAGTTTGTCATCGCTTTTATTGTTACAGTCATATTTTACTCGCAAAAAGAAAATCCAGACAGCCTTGAAGTATAAGTGAAGTGAATCGAATTCCTGTTGTTTAGGAACGTAATCCTACTTCTGAGAAAGTGTCTGTTAAACGAACATTACGAAAAAAAACGGCAGGTAATGTTTATGTCTGCTCAACAGAATCGGCTGGAACGCTGTAGGTGCCTCCCCCCTACGGAGCCGGTGACGTGACCTGAAGAAATTTCTGAAGCTATTTTGGCCGCTGGGAGAGGTTCCCACATTTAACCGCAAAGCGACTCAAGAGTGCTTTCAGGCAATCCGTTCGATCGTAATTATAGTTATACGCATATTTCGACCGCTGTTGCAGACAAACCACTGGTGACGCTGCTGTTGGGCAAGCGTCTTCGGCTGGAAGAGATCTTCGAGGGTCAGGACTTGTACCTGGAGTGTAGCATTGATGCTAACCCGCACGTCTCTGAGGTCGTCTGGAAGTTTGAAGGAAGAGAAGTGCACTCGGACCCCGCGGCAAAAGTCATCACCAGCAACCAGTCACTGGTCTTTCAGTCCATCCAGAGGCATAACGCGGGACGCTACACTTGCGTCGCCATCAACTCCGAGGGAGAGTCTGTCAGCAACGAGGTCCGGCTGAGCGTACAATGTGCGTACTCTACCTTGTGCTCAGTCAGCACAGTTGTTTGGGAAAACAAACATTTGTTTAGGCAGTTGAGGACGTTGAAAGTTTTAAAGTGTCAAGACATAACTTAACTTGTTATTCCCTGGCCATAGTTTAGCTATTTCTTACCTAAACTGCCAAGCAAGTGCAAAAATTAGGAGCCACTGCTTGGTGGTTCGCGTGCCTCCTGGTATCTTTGGGCCTCAGCTTCCGAGACGATCCCAGAATTATTTTTTTTCATGGTTATTTGGTTTTCCCCTGGCCACTTTGGCTTCAGACTGCAACACAAGTGCCAGAATTATGCTATGCCTGTACGCTTCCTTTCTAGCTATTTTTTGGCATTTTGGCAACTATGTGGTGAACCACAGAAAGGCCATAACAAAGCCGAGGAAACGTACTGTGGAACTAACCATCATCTATGATTGCCAAACTTGGGATTAATCTCCAAGGATTAGCAAGCTTAGCCAAAGTTAGACATTCTTTTGGCGAGTACCGCCCGGGTGTGTCCTTTGAGACGCGCCCAACCTGATGACAGAAAACGTTATCTTATTGTAGTGATGGGGACCGAGTGGTAAAACTATGTCCCAGGTACAAGTGGCGATTGGGTGTTACGTCAACCAAATTTCAAGTCTCATGGGTAGTGTAATGGTCAAATCCAAATCATCTATCATACCAATAATCGAGAAATGTGATTTTCGTTTCTCTTTTAAGGTTTGTCTTGATGTCGCCATTTAGAAAATAAATTTGTTTCTACTTCCTTTAATAATGTTGCTTATGTGACCATATACGTTGCTTCGATTTGAAAAGGCTCCCGGAGTCCTCCTACATTTTGGAAGATGACGCCTGCCAGAGCCTACTTTATGTGAAATGGCATTCCTATTCTTAAGTCGTTCCGCTCTTTGTAATTCTCGATATAGATATGTCACTGTCAGAACAAAACAAAAAGCGTGATCCAAAATTCTGTTGTAGATCAAATCAAAACTACGGCGTGCTCGAGCGAGAGAAACTCGTGCAGGTGCATTGACTAGGTGTGCTCACGAGGTACGAAAGTGTTACCGAAGGTATATTCTTAACTTGAAGAAAGTAGAGAGTGATGACTCGTGAGCATCATTTTGTTGTCTCGCAGCCAATTACATTTTTGCGAAGTCGTTAGAAAAGCCGAATAACGGATCATGGTGAAAAAAACATCAACATACTAATCAACGCCGCATGTTTTCGGTTTTTTTTTTGGTTTTTTTTTGCTTTTGGTTTTATAAGACCAGCGTTGAGGCGGAGTATCTGGTGCATTCCTAACTTGTGTCTGACTATAGTTAGGGACAAAATAATATTTTAAAAAAACGTGGAGCGTTGCTTGATGTGCTCAAACTTTCTGCTTCCTAATTCGTATTTTAGTAGTTTTATCCACTAACGCCATAGTCTTGTAGGTAGAATAGGATTAATATTATGCTCGGAACTCGCCACCCTGCGTTCTCAAGCTGACCATACATGTAACTAGATCAGCTTGAACTTTAGATTTATGCTTCAAAACGAAGAATGAAAGCACAGGAGAGGAGGGGAGGGACGGCTGTGTCCTATCCTGTTCTTTCTTTCGTGTGTCCTCTCCTTTTAATTTCTGTTGCGTGTTCAGATGCAGTTTTAAGGCTTAAGGAGTTCAATGTACAAGTACGTACCACAACAAGCTCTGCCCTTAACCGTTACTGACCATACAGCCGCTTGTTGTCTACTCTTTCCGACGCAGATTCGCCGGTGTGTTCGCCTCGGCAGCGCGCCGTGTACCCGGCAGCGGCACACGAGATGGTGCAGGTCTCGTGTGACGTGGACGCCCACCCTTCCGTGACGAGCTTCCGCTGGGCCTTTAACGGCAGTTTGCGCAGCCACGAGGTGCAGAGCTTCGTGTCCGATGGCGGCCGCAGCGTGGCCTCGTACGTGCCCAGGGAGGAGGCCGACTACGGCTCGCTTTTCTGCTGGGCCGTCAACGAGATCGGCACCCAGAAGACGCCCTGCCAGTTCCAGATCACACCTGTCGGTACGGGCACCGGGGTGTGGCGGCGTATGTTTGTTTAACAAAAACAAAATACTGCGGGAAAATGACGGAACCTCTGAAGGGCCAGCGCATGTGCTTTTTCTGGCGAAACGGTTTTCGTACGAATAGTCGGACATGATATAGTAAGGAATGCTAGAGTCACTGAAAGGCACTAAAAGAAACGTGGTTTAATATGTCCACGCTGAATCATCTATTCGATTCCAAAGAATCTGTTTACTGTTTATTATAGGCACATATTCCTTGTTCGAACGCTCAATGCAAGTTAGTTATATAAAAAAGTAAAAAATAAAATGTCAAAGTTGCGAAATATTTGAAAGACGCATAAGTCTTCCATTTTTCGTTCTCGAACAGCCTTCAGCCGTGGTTTGTGCATGATTTCCGATTAGCAGTCAGTTTTTTTTTGGTTTTTTTTCTTTTTCTTTTTAATACACTTGAGAATAGGTGTGCTAAGAATGGCTTTACCACGCTTCGTCCCAGGTCGCATTAACCATGAACCGTATTTATTGGACATTTCATTTAAAAAACATTTTTGTAATGTGTTTCATCCCAATAGGCTTATCCCGGGGACATTGCGTGCGTGCCTTGGTAGAAATTACATTACTGTATTTGGTAATGACTAATTTGTAATGGGGGAATAATTACTTTTGAAAGACGTACTGTAGTTGTAGTTCCATTCTAAGTTGAGTTGTTAAAACATTAATGAGTTTTCATAGGACATCAATATTTATATGTTTTGTGAACACTCGCAAATAATAGCGGAAAGTCTCATCCACGTCATTGAACTCATGCTGCTTTCAAGGAAAGGTAATTAAAAAGCATCGCATTATTTTCATATATAATTCATAATTCTACTTCATTACTTCTTGTGCACTAGTAGTTGTAGTGTTAATAGCTAATATAGGAGCCAAATGAATGTAATTGCAATAAAATTACATCTTCGAAATAATTTGCGCAACAATATTGAATTTTAATACCACGAAAATTGGCCCCAGAAGAGCTTATGCAGCATTTAGGGTCATTTGAGGGCATACTCAATTCATTGCAAGTCATTTCATTCCAAGCCTGTTGATTGCAAACAATTAATACCAAAAATATTCCATCGAAAGAAATTTCATATCAAGACATTTGGTCCCATGTATTAAAATCAACTAACCTCCCGGCGCGATTGGTTGATAAGTATCTCAAACAAATTAGAGCACAGCCCTAGAAGAGGAAGAGGAGGGGAGAGCACGGAGGGAAAAGGGTATGCCACTCCTCCTTCTTCGCACCGTCTCCTCTTCTACCTAGTCATTCTCCCCCTTCTCTCCCCTGGTCCTCCTCCTTATTTCCTCCTCCTCTCCTCCTTATCCCCCTCCTCTCCTTCCTCCTCCTACGTATCCTCCCGTTCTCTTCCTCTGTACCCTTCCCTCCTCCTCCTCCATACCATCCCCTCCTCCTTCTGTTTCCCGCTAAGTTTAGCTGAAAAATCGACGCCACGTAACCTTAACACCAATTCAGTTTCCCCGCTGAATGTAGCACGCAAAAAGACGCCACATGACTTGGTGTCACGTCACCTATGAACCGATTCCCTTTGTCTGCTAGACTGAGCGGGAAAATTGACGTCACGCGACCTCGACACTAATTCAAATCCCCGCTAAATTTAAAGGATAAATTCAGCTTCTCCGCTAGATTTAGACGGAAAATTGACTTCACGTGACATTCACACCAATTCAATTCCCCGAATTGAACCGGGAATTTTCCCGCTAAATCTAGCGGATAAACTGAATTTGTCCGCTAACTCCAGCGGCGAAACTGAATTTACCCGCTAACTTCAGCGTGGAATCGAATCGGTGTTAAGGTCACGTGACGTCAATTTCCCCGCGGTTACGCCGACGCCCCCACCCACGCCGAGGCCGCGAAACACGGAATCCGGCGCCTAAGAGCTCTGCTCTAAAAGAAATAATCGCGCCAAGCAGGCCTTCAACTCTGTTGGCTCGCGTGGCAGGCGCGTGCGTCGCCAACTCCGCCACGCACGCGTCAACGCGCTGAGAGCCTCAGGAAGTGCACGGTTTGCAGCTGCCGACATCGTACGCTGTTTAGGGTGTCAGTGGTTTCGACCATATAGTATAAATGACGTCAGTGGTTCAGGTGAGTATTTGATATGAGCAACAACACTGAGATAGCAGCGTCTAAGCAAGTCCTACTCGGCGCTGTGGGGTCTATGCTCAAACCAGGGCCAGCTTACTACAACTGCGTCTCAGCTGAGGCGGTGGAACAAAGCACTGCAAAAGCTGGGACGCGCGAACGTCTCGGGACGCGGATTGAGTCCCGGTCAGCTAGTGCACTGGCTTTGGCCATAGCCTCCTATATACTCACAAAGCCTGGCAGATCGCCACGAGAAGCGGCCGCCGAAATGGAAAAGGTGGAGCGGTTTGTTTCGGGTCCTCGCCGCTGCAAGATCTCTGCGCTGTCGTCAAGGTTCCCCGAGAAAAAGCTTTTTGATGCTCTGTGCTACCAGATCCTCGCGCTCCAAATCTGCGACCGGGCACTCTATGGCTCTGTCGTCAAACTTCCACGTTATATGCGTATAAAGGAGGCCCAACCTGGCAGCGCGCCCAACCTGGCAGTGCTTTTTTTCACCCAACTTTAGCTGAGACGCAGCTTCTAGCATGCCGGCTTAGGTCTCCCGTACCTATAGGAGACGAAGTTGTGAGTTCTCTCGTAGCGGGTGCATCGCCGTTCTTGAGAGCCCGAAGTGCGGAGCCCAGCGAGTTTGCGCACCTCTTCATCATGACTTGTGGCGTTTGATGCGTGCTCGATGGGTACAGGTTATTTCAGGCAAGGGTAGATTTTCCATGATGCGGCATTTCAGCACTTTTTTATGGATGCCACCAGACGTCCCCGTTTTAAAACCAGCAGGATCCAATGACATACAAGTTCGTACTTGCTGCCTTCTGCTGCCGGGAAAAAACAGAATGAGCTATCTGACTCTTAACAACCACGAGCCTTACTCTGTGCCTTTCTTCCTAAGGGGGAATGAAATATGGTGACTATACTAAAGACAGTCGTTGTCGTTGCCGTTGCAGCTCGAGCTCACAAATCGAGCTGGTGCACGTCTAGAGTATTGCGCAGATAACAGTTTGATCATCCGCATTCTATCCGGATCCGCAGGCTTCGTATCTGCATCCGAATCACATCCGAAATGTGTTTCAATAACTACGTGTATCCCATCCCATCCGCATCCGCAGACTTTGCATCCGCATCTGAGCTGCAGCAACGAAATTCAAAAAGCATCCGACTCTCGATCCCCGCATCGATTTTATATCATAAAATCAAGAATAAGTAAAAAAAAAGATTGGATGATAATATATAAGCCGTTTGGTTAACTTGGTATAAAAAACTGTTCCTCTCAAAATATGGTGAAAGTGATATTGTTGCATTATATTTCATCGTATTTATAAGATAAGCGATCAACCGCCCAGAACCACTTCGCAAGGCTGGAAATATGATCGTAGTTATAAAATATTCTTGAGAGTCCGTGAAAGTTACACTCTGTGCAAAAGACGCGCTCATAAAGAAAAAAAATATTTATTTTTCTTTTTGTTTTGTAAAGACCACTTCAAGCAGACGCGTAATTTATAAGTATAAATATTAACTAACACACTAATTATACGAATTAATTTTATTTATGACAAAGAATCAACAAGTGTAAAAGGAAAAGCGCTTCCTCACCGCGACAAAGTACTCCTGTATGTGTAGTAAAGCGCGAGTACACCACAGAAAAAATATTAGAATATTCAATATTGGTTTCAGTTTTAGACACGAACCCTCGACTGCATGTTCGGAACCATATACTTTAAAAAAAAAACACAAAAAAACTTAGTGCCAACAGTCAAGAAAAAACAAACTCTAACACACGCAGTTTCCACTTGTTGAAATTTCTGTGTAAAAGAAACAGAATACCGTCAACATGAACAGAGTCAGGCCGGCTCGCCTCTTAAAGGTTTACCCGCTGACAAGAAGTCTCTCTCCGATTGTGCACTTGATGATGGGGCGGCATGTACGAAGTGCGCTGCAAAAATGAGGTGCGGAAACTAGTACAGGAGCAAGTTCCACTTCTACGGACGATCTAATTTATTCTCCTCGATCTACTGCTAAGAAGCCACTTACAGGCTTCTTTTACTTTCTTGTGACTTGTATGCTTTGAGTTCTCTTTGCTCAAAGAACGTTTTTCCGTTCCTTCTCTGTCAAACAAGAACACGCTTTCCCGATTCGACTGATGCTCCTGCATTTTTTTTTTTTTTTAATTTTTCTAAGGACAACATTTTTGGGGAGAAAGAATGTTATAAAGCAATGTTTGGTAAGCACCAAATCTTTCTTGACTTAAAAAAAAACAATTTTCTTCCCAATGACATTTTTTTTATCTGAGAGTTTAGTTTTTCCCGCAATACATTAAATGATGCTTTTTCAAAGTAGCACTCCCACTTTCGCTCTATATTGTGTGGTGGCACACGTTTATGGGTCGCCTCGGCAAAACTGTGGATCCGGGGTCGTGGATATCGGCATCCCATCCGCATTCGCAGCCCCTGACATCCGCGTCTGATCATCAATACGCCAAATTTTATTCCTTTTTTATCCGCATCCTTCAGTTTACTGCGGACATCCGCGAATTATCCGGAGGTAATCCGTGGATCTGCAGGGCTCTACGCATGTCAGTTATTCTGCGAGCTGGTAAAATATAGAAGCAGGTCATACGTCCCCGGGCTGGCTTACCGTAATAAACAGTTAAGTAGTAACCGCCTCACCGGATTACTATAGTAAGCGTGAATAAATACTTAAGATAATTGGGCGCTGGAGGGCGGCCACGGCATTCAGCCTACAAGGCAGAGAGCAATTAATTCCAATGTGCACCGAAGCGCCGCCCTGCACATTTACAGGCCACGGTGTGTGGTTGAGGGTTAATAGGAGTGAATATGCTCGGGATCAGGAACACAGCGCGGAGT